CTCCTGGCGCGGCGGCCCGCCGGGCACGTCCCCGCCGCCGCCGCGGCCCGCGGCCCTGAGGAGCGGCGGCGGCGGCGGCGGCACGAGGAAGGCCTCCTTGTCCGCCGCCATCTCGATCATGCCGCGCTCGGGCCGCGGCCCGGTCCGGGTCCGGCCTCCGCCCCGCCCCGCCCGCTCGAGCCCCTCCTACGCGTGCGCCTTGGGCTCCCCGCTCGCGCGCAGGCCCGGTCGCTCCGCCGCGCGCAGCCGCGCTGCTCCTTCTCCGATCGAGTCAGGGCCCGGCGCGCACGCGCGCAGCCATTCCGCGCAGCTCGCCCGACGCGCCTCCTCGCTCCCGGCGCATGCGCGGCCCTCGCCTTCGCCAAAGGAAGAACGCTTCGCGCCTCCCGCTTTCCCGCGATGGCACGCTCCCCCTGCGACTGGAGCTTATATACACGGAGGGTGGGGTTGTCGAACGCCACGCCTCTCCCTCGCGGCAAAAGCCAATCACGGCTTAGTACTGTCACGTCCCGCGTGGATTTGTAGCCAATCGAAATCTTGTCGAGACGGAACTTCAGAACCCTCCGCCCCTCCTTTTGGATCGCCTCCTTATTTCCATTTCAACCAATAGATGAACAGGTTTAGAACGCTTGTAACCAATGAGAGGTCAACAATGGAGCCTAATTTTCTCCAAGGTGTCGCTGAGGGGCCTTCTTAGTATTGGGTCGTCTTCATCACGCGCCTGTGGCAGTGTTATCTCAGGCTGCAGATGGCGCAAACAAAACCCAGTAGATGCATTTCTCCTGAGTGAAATGATTAATACAGGCTCATCATAATAGAACGCAACTTGGCCGCCGCGGACGACTAGCCCCCAAAAGCTAGTCATGTTTTTGCCCAGGCATCGAATTAGGCTCCTAAACGAACCTCGCGGATTTTGGCTAAGACGAAATATTGTGCTTTTAAAGTACGTAGAGACCTATTTTTAGTCTACAGATTACGCAGAAGGTTGTTGAGGAACCACTCCATGCTGCCTTTTCTGCATTTTAAAAACAAGGCCGAAGAACATTTTTTAAAGTTCCCAATATGGATAGTTGTCAAGGATCACACGGCTTCCCTTTCCCAGGCCGTCGTGCGCAAAGTGCTCTGGTACTTGTAGTTTGCGGGCGTAGAGCAATTGCGCATGTGCTGAAAATCCCCGCCTCTCCGCCCCGCCGCCCCGCGCAGGCGTGTCAGTGGTAAACAGACCGATTCCTTCACGCCGCAACGCAAAGAAACCGCTTTTAGCTTAGGTGGAGGGCGATGCAATGGGGACGACCCCGCGCTTTTAATCCTTTTTAGTCGTGGGAAGAGCGAACCACGCGCGAATAACTCGAAATCACGCCAAACAGCAGAGCACGCGGCCTTGAACCGACTCCAAGCCACTGGCCCATCTCAACCAGCATCGCCACCGACGGGCAGCTTTATTTATTTATTTATCTATTTATTTAAAACATTTCTATGCCGCCCCATTCGCCAAAGCCTCGGGGCGGGTCACAACATAAATTAAAATATAATACATTAAAAATATTAAAAAATTAACAATATAAAATAAGTCGCCCTGGCCAGATAAAATAAGCAAATAATATTAACAATTAAAATGACGTTTAAATAAAAAGGTCTTCGCCTGGCGCCGAAAAACAAATAACGACGGCGCCAGGTGGACCTCTCTGGGGAGTGCCTTCTATAGATTGGGCGCCACCACAGAGAAAGCCCTCCTCTGAGTACCTACCCTCCTAATTTCTTTCACAGAGGGTCCCCGGAGAAGGGCCTCTCCCGCAGATCTCAAGGGGCGGGCAAGCATATATGGAGGTAAGCGCTCCTTCAGGTAACCAGGACCCAAGCCGTTAAGGGCTTTATAGGGCATCACCAACACCTTGAATTGGGCCCGGACTTCAATGAGGAGCCAGTGAAGCTGACGGAGGACTGGAGTCATGTGAGCATAACGCCCTGTCCCCGTCAGCAGCCTGGCAGCTCTATTTTGAACCAGTTGAAGTATCTGGACTGTCTTCAAGGGTAGCCCCACGTAAAGCGCGTTACAGAAGTCAAGGCGGGAAGTCACTGGCGCGTGTGTCACCGTTGCCAGGCAGTCGTACTCCAGATAGGGGCGCAGCTGATGGATCAGCCGAAGCTGGAGGAAAGCGCTCCTCGCTGCTGGTGTCACCTGAGCTTCCAGTGAAAGCTCTAGGTCAAAGAGCACTCCCAAGCTGCAAACCCTGTCCCTCAGAGGGAGTGCAACCCCATTTAGCACAAGGCCCAAGTCCCCCATCCTGAAGCTCGAACCACCCACCAACAGGATCTCCGTCTTGTCTGGATTGAGCTTGTTTATTGGCCCTCATCCAGCCCATTACCTCGGCCAGGCACCAGTTCAGCACAGCCACTGCCTCACCCGGATTGGTGGAAATGAGAGGTAGAGCTGGGTATCATCAGTGTACTGATGGTTCCGCAGCCCACACCTCCTGATGACCTCTCCCAGCGGTTTCATGTAGACGTTAAACAGCAAAGGGGGCAAAATGGACCCCTGCGGTACTCCGTGGCTTAGCTGCCATGGCGCAGAGCCATAGTCCCCCAGCACCACCTTCTGGAATCGGCCATTGAGATAGGAGTGGAACCACTGCAAAGCAGTGCCTCCGACCCCCAATCCCGCTAGCCTATCCGGAAGGATACCAGCTGCTGCCCTTGGACCTCTAACCGGGAACACGGGCAGGAACTGCACCTGAAATCGTTTCCGGTCCCACTTTTCCTTTAGGGGACGCCCCTGCTCGCCTCTTGGGATAGTTAACTGTTATTTAGCTGTTTGCAACCGTCGTATACTGCTTCTCGTTTCAAACAAGACCCAAAGTAATTTGCAAAAGAAGAAAAAGAAACCACAAGCATAGGATCGCGTCCTAAATGAATTTCGTATGTGTATTTAATAGGGTGCTTGGATGTGGATCCGACTCGACCAAGAACACATGAATGCGGAACGTCACTAGGATCTATAAGTGACTCCGCACTGTAAAGGAAATGTTTTTAGCGCCTCGGAGGAAGCGGTAACCATAAAAGGGCGTGTACAGGCCGTGCTGTTTGGCCTCCAGCGCTATCTTGCAATTTAAAAGGAACGACGTCTCCAAGAGTAACTCTTCTCGCGTGCATTTGGGGCAGATTTGGACAGAAACGTGGCTGGCGGTGCTGCGAGCCGTGGATCCGCTGTCTGTCTGAGCACGCACAAGACTGTGCCCTTGCTGCGGGGGCGGGAGCTCTCGTGGCTGCTGCCGGGGTCTCCGAACGCCTGTGGCAGAAAGAGCGAGGGCAGCCCGGGACTTCTTGCTGCCCCGGACTGCTCCCGATGCCGCCGAAGCACGCACGAGTCCCCTCTGCAAGGCGCGTGGCGTTCCCAGGCGGGCAGGCCCAGGCCGAGGGAAAGCCGCCGCGGTGGCTGGGCCGGCGGGGAGCCGCAGAAACCCCAAACCGCGCCCCGAACGGACTGGCCCTGCAGCTGCCTCGAGCCCGGCCCGCCCACGAGGCGGCCACCGCGCGGCCTGCAGCGGCCGGGCTGGGCCGTGCGGCTTCCCGGGGCTCGTGCGCGGGCCAGAGGGCTCCACCGGGCCCAGCAGAGGGGCTCGGCTGCAGCTCCGGCGCTGGCCCGCTGCGGGGGGGCGGGGGGGGGAGGGAACGGGGGGGGGGGGGGTCCTGCGGCTTCCTCTCGAGCGGCGCGCGGACCCGGACGGGCCTCCTCGGCAGGGGGCGCTGCAGCCTGGCGTGCGCGGTGCGGCGGCACGCGCCCCCCCGGCCCCCTGCCCCGCGGCCCCGCCCCCCCGGGCCGGCCAAAGCCTCGGCTTCTCCGAGCATGCGCGAGGTGGGCGTCGCCCGCATTCCAGGAGTCGCTCGCGCGGCGCGCTCGCGCGTGCCGCGAGGACCCGGATGGGGCTGGGGGCGCGTGCGCAGTTCCGCCTGCGCGCGGTGGGAGGGGAAGGCGCCAAAACTCCCTCGGCGGGAGCGGGCGGCGGTTGGGCGCGCGAGGTGCGCGGGGCGGAAAGGGCGTCGTTTGCTCCGCGAAGCGGCAGCGCGTTGCCCGTAGTGGAGCGTTTTCCAATGCACCTCGGAAACACGCCTGGCTGGGAATGGGGGGAACGGCTGGGCGCGCTCAGCCCGTGTGCGACCGGGCCCGGGGCGATGCGGGGCCTCGTCCGGGAGGATAACATGGCGAGGGGCGGGAGGTTGTGTCAGCCTCCTTGGGCTCCTCGCGAAAGGGGAGGCAGATGTGACCTAGCGATAAAACAGTTCAGCGGGTTCACATTGGAAGAGCCCGGCATGCCAGCAACATCATCGCATGCACAGAATCCCGCTTCTTTTACCTCACGAAAGGCTCCGCGGGGTCTTGGGCGGCTCACCTGTGTCAAAACATTAATACCAGCGTAAACAGACATAATTGCCAGTGCTCGAGTGAGCCTCCTGTCAAAATGTTCATGTTACCGTGCAGAAATCGCATTTGATGGGAATATTGATCCTGTAATTAAACCTTATGTCATACAATTTACCTCACCTGCTGGAAGCAGTCTGTATGGCAGTCGCCAAAAGGTCTGGCTGCCAGCTCAAAAGGGAATATGATACGCATATGCATAGACAAACTTGCTGAAACCTGGCAATGTCTTTGAAGCAAAACACTTACCGCAATTCGGCTCAAGGGAGGTTCAAATCCCAAAAATAGTGGCTGGTCAAAAAAAAAAGTTTACCCTTTGTGAGCACAATACATTTTTCAGTTCTATTTACTTTGATACCATAGTCCAGCACATGCTTAAGTCTGCCTCACTGAAATACTTGAATTTTGTAGGATGTGTTTACTCCCCACTCTCCTATTAACACTCAAGGCAAAAATAGAAATAAAGCCTATTGGAACCAACTGAAAACAAGGAGCTAAAGTGACAGAAACACACTCTAACAACAAAAAATGCATTAAATACTAGTTACCACCTTCACAAAAAATATATTAAATATTAGTTCCATCCCAAATATTTTAGGGATGATAAGTTCCCTTATTTAAAACTGTTTCAGTGTTTTAAAGGGTGTTTTTAAAAAGCACTTTGAATTGAGCCTGGAAGCTCAGGAAGCTCTAG